TTTCTCTCCTCTCACTTATCAGAACATGGTTTTAGATAACCCACAAAACCACCTTGATAATGATCTAGATAGACCCCTACGACACACTGTCATTACGCATGCTTCTACTAACCCTTCGATTAAAAACCTAAATAATAGTAGTTTTACTCTTAATAACCCTACTCCTGCAAACAATAATCCTAGTGATTTCTTAAAAAATAAAAATAGTGTTTCAGACCCTAGGGCACCTCTTCCAACCCCCTATCCCCATGGAACCAATAAGGGCAACAACACCAATACCCCACCTCGTAACACCCCACCTCGTAACACCCATACCACCCCTCCAACCCCCCTTACCAACAAGGGCATTACAAATAAAATTAAACACTTGGCAACAAACGAAGGTCCCTTTTTACAAATGGACACTGCCATTGTACACGTAGATCAGAAACAAACAAATTCCCAAACTATTAATACCAATACGCTATCCCAGTCATGCAACATGCAAACAGATCTTACAATCATTGCCTCTAATTCTGTGTATTCCCAAGAACAAAACACATCCTCTAAAACCTTCCCTCTCCAACATTACAATGCCCAGAATTCCAATAGCCAAGAGACACTACAGGCTAATCCAACTTCTCCGCCTTCAACAAAGCATGGCAAATCAAAACAATCCAAATCAGCCTCCTCTCCAAACTCCAACAATCCTGATCCAACCCCCCATGCCAGAGAATCATCAGCCACAATCGTGGGTGGAATTGGGACTGATGGGTCAAGCACTCTCATTCACCACCGTGCTAAATGGGAGGGAAACCATAATTGTCCTCCACAACTCTCATTACCTTGCTCAACTGATATCGGAAGGAATCCGCCTTGCAATGAACAACTACCTAAATCACTTTTGGTTGAACAACATCCTTCAACCAATTGCACCGAATCTACCTCCACATGCAACCCAAACAATGATGAGGGAATGGCAAATGCCACCCCACTTTGTCACTCTTCAGACTGCCCAGTCAGTTTCGAGCCTCCCCTTCTTCACCCTGGAGATAGCCACCTATTTGAATCCAATATTCACTCCTTGGGACATACATGCACCACAAAATCACAGTGTTCACAATGCAACAACTCCTCTCAACCAAACCACTGTCCAACCCCATACACAGCCAAGCAATCAACCACAAGAAGACACGATGGAAGAAGCAGTGGAGCCTCCTATCTTAATACCAGAATTAGTAATCGAAAATTCAAATCTAGAAGACGTAAAAGTCTTCATCTTCATGGAGAGGCAGGAACAGAGGCAAATTCTGAAATGCCCTCTAGCTCTCTACAAATGCACAATGGACATTCGTCCACCAGCAGACCCTTCTGTGGGTCAGCATGCAATGATCCTTGTTCCATTCCAAAGGAGGAACCCAGTCCATGCCCCACGAAATCTGGAGAATGGGGACCTCCACAACTGGAACTTAACCATGAATAGGCCCATCTCATTCATTATTTGGAATATTCGTGGCGGTAACAACGATAATTTCAGGCTTCATTTTAGGGAAATGATCGACACCCACAAGCCTAGCATGGTCACTCTTCTGGAAACGCGCATGGACAACCATATGCCTCTTCTCAACCCATTCGGTTTCACTGATATGATTGAAATTCCTTCTAACGGTCAATCAGGGGGTATGGTTGTTCTTTGGAATCACACTGTTGTTAATGTGCACAGTTTTGTAAGAAGAAACCAGGAAATAAGTGCAACCATCGAGGTAATCTCTTCCAATATTACTTGGCTGTTTACTTCAGTATATGCTAGTACTAAGGTAAAAGATAGGAATCAGCTTTGGGAGAATCTAGTTAACATGCATGACCATCGTACAGGTCCCTGGTTAGTAGGGGGAGATTTTAACGATGTTCTAGACTCTAACGAAAAATTAGGAGGCAATATGGTTAGTAGCAGATGTACTAAATTCCTTTGGGATTGTATTAATAAGTGTGGCCTCTCAGACTTAGGTTATAAGGGCTGTAAATTTACTTGGTCCAATCGAAAGAGGAAAAATAAAGGGCTTATTATGGAAAGACTTGATAAAATTCTAGCAAATAGCGAGTGGATCACTGCGTTCCCAGATGCTACTGTCACCAATTTACCCAAAACCTGCTCCGACCATAATCCATTATTGCTCCAATTAACTTCCGACAAAACCTATAGATTTCCAAAACCTTTTAGGTTAGAATCCTTTTGGTGCAGGCACCCTAGCTTCCCAAATCTAGTTAAAGATAATTGGAAGGGTGCTGATTATCATGAATCCTCCGATAATTTTATTAGGAAAGTCAAAGACTGGAATATCAATATTTTTGGTAAAATACGCAAAGAGAAGAAAAGAATTCTGGCCAGACTAAAAGGCATACAAGAATCCAATAACTACTATAATAGCATCTTCCTGCAAAACTTAGAACGATCCCTCCAATATGATTTTGATAATTTTCTAAAAAAGGAAGATGATTACTGGAAATTAAGGGCAAAAGTTTCCTGGATCCAGGAAGGGGACTCTAATTCAAAATTTTTTCACATTATGGCCACAAATAATAGAAGGAAAAACAAAATCTCGTACTATAAAGATGACCAGGGCAATTGGATTGATAATCCTATCGACCTCCTAAATCACACTAAGCAATTCTTCAAAAATGCCTTCACCACTTCTCTTGAATATTCTAAGTGGCAGGACTACAATCATAATCCTTGTGCCCACAATATACAAGATCTAATGAGCCTAGAAAATCCCCTAAAGCCCCATGAGATCACCAATGCAGTTTTTTCCTTTAGGCCGTTCAAAGCTCCAGGCACAGATGGTATCCATCCTTTCTTCTATCAGAAATATTGGAACATTGTCGGGCCCTCAGTTATCAAGGGTTGCTACCAAGTTTTTAAAAACAAAAGCCTCCCTATAGGGACCAATGATACCTACATCTGCCTTATCCCAAAATTCAACAATGCCAATAACCTTAAAAACTTCAGGCATATTGGGCTTTGTAATACCTTTTATAAAATCATTACCAAAATTATCGCAAACAGGATCAAACCTTTTCTTAACAATCTGATCAGCCCCTTCCAAGCTAGCTTCATTAAAGGAAGGAGAACCAGTGATAATGCCATATTGGTCCAAGAAATCATCAATCACTTCAAGAAAATGAAAGGAAAAAGGGCCAGTATGATCCTCAAATTAGACCTGGAGAAAGCTTTTGACCGCCTTGAATGGTCCTTCGTTCACAGCATGCTCAAAGTTTTCAACTTTCCTCCAACTATTTCGACTCTAATCTTAAATTGTATTTGCTCCAGTAGAATTGCCATACTAGTTAATGGCACCATGACTGACTTCTTCAGCCCTGGTAGGGGAATAAGACAAGGGTGCCCTCTATCTCCATATATTTTCATTCTATGTATGGAAATGTTCTCCCGTCTGATTTCCCATCAAGTGGATATATGTCAATGGGATCCAATTAACCTTAGCCCAAAAGATGCAGGCATATCTCACCTCTTCTTTGCTGACGACCTAACCCTCATGTCTAGACTTAATGAAAAATCCTGCAAAACAATAAAGAACAGTCTTTCCTATTTTTGCAAGTTGTCTGGACAGAACATTAACACACAAAAATCAAAAATTCTGGTCTCCAGGAACTGTCACCCCAATACTGCCCAGGAGATTGCCTCCTATTTCAACATCAAAATAGATAAGTCTTTTGGGAAATACCTGGGCTACCCAATCCTAAACAATCACCCCACCCTAAAGGACTACCAATACATCATTGACAATATGCATAGGAAGCTTTCATCCTGGAAAGGGAAGTTTCTCAATATCGCTGGAAGAACTACTTTAGCAATTTCTACCCTAAATGCTATCCCAAGCCATGCCATGCATTATACACTCCTCCCAAATAAAACTCTAAAGCAAATTGATCGTATTCAAAGAAACTTTATTTGGGGTACAAATAGCGACTCAAAAAAAATCCACTACATTAATTGGCAGAATGTTACCAAACCAAAAGAGGAGGGAGGCCTTGGCCTACATACTGTTATTAACAAAAACCTAAATTCTCTCTCAAATCTTACATGGAGGCTCATTACCAATCCAACAGCCCCATGGTCAAGCACCACCATCCATAAATATGCCAAAAGCAACCCAAGAAAAAACTCCTCCTTTGTATGGAAAAGTATTCTCAAAGGATGGTCCACTTGCTCCAAAGGAATAACCTGGTTACCAAGTAGTAATTCAAGTCTCAACATTTGGACCTCCTCCTGGATTCCCAACTAGCCATCTCTCCGACAATGTCTTCAGGGACCCCTCACTCATCAAGAAAGTAGCATGACCATTAAAGATATCATTGTCAACAATCAATGGAACTTTTCTAACCTTTCCTTCAATATCCCAAAAGAAATTACAAACAACATAAACAAAATTCCATTCCCCCTCAATAAAACCCAAGACACACTCGTTTGGTCCCTATCTCCTAGTGGAAGCTTCACCTCCAAGTCATGTGCCAAACTCCTCCAGGATAATAAATGCCCTAGTCTGGACTTTAATTGGATTTGGGAAATAAAATGCCCAAATAAAATAAAATACTTCTTGTGGCAATGTCTACACAACAGAATTCCTTGCAGACAATACCTCCAACACATTGGCATCAACATAGATAAGAATTGTGCCATGTGCCATACAGCTGAGGAATCCCCACGGCACATCTTCCTCACCTGCACAACTGTCCAAAGGCTATGGGCACAATTAGGCTTAATCATTATCCATAACTCCAATGAGCATTGGTTGTCTTTTCTCAAAAACCAATCACCAAAATTCACCAATAATTTCATTGACTGGCAACAACTCCTTCCATTCGTGGTTTGGGGAATTTGGTTAAACAGAAACAGCAACAACATAAACAACACTATCTTCTCCCCGTCACTCAAAACCATTGTACATCATGCCATGGAATTCCACTTCATGACCTCTCACAGTAACCCTATTACTCAAAAAATGACCATTGACATCAAATGGCATCCCCCTCAAAAGGGGTGGTACAAACTCAACATTGATGGTGCTCGTGATAACCTCAAAAGTGGCATAGGTGGAGTCTTCCGAAGTTGCAGTGGGAAGTGGATTATTGGCTTCCAAAAGAAAACCAATGCCATATGTCCTCTACACGCTGAATTACAGTCACTCCAGGAAGGCCTCAAATTAGCTCACAGATTCAGGCTGTTTCCATTAGAAATTGAAACAGATTCAACAGACGTCATCAAAGCCATTGAAAATGGCCATGCTACTCTAAATAACGTAATCTTTTTTTGCAGGTCATTAATGCTCCAGCTGAAGGACCTAGTACTGAGGCATAACTTCAGAGAAGGCAATAGGGTGGCGGATGCACTAGCTAAAGATGCAAAAAAAAGGACGACAGCAAAAATATGCATGAAGAAGTTCAAGTATTAGTGTCACCACCAGTTTTTGTAGAAAAAACACTTGCAAATGATATGAGTGGGGATCCTATTTTCTCTAAGAATGTATCTAGTAGTATCTGTAATATGCTACTTTGCCTAGGAAATCAAAACATTATGAAGGAAGGGCCATCCGATCCTTCAATCTGCGCATTAAGCGAAGAACAATGTAATATGCCAACCGCAGCTTAGTATATATATGTAATATCCTGTTTTAACGTTCAAAAAAAAAAGTTGTTGCATATTGATCAAATGTACTTTCTTGATAACAGTCATGCGATTAGTACTATAGATACTAACTACTTAATTTATCCGCGTTTCGCGCGGCCCATGACAATAATAAGTAATAATTGAGATATAAGAGATCCCTATATTTTAATCTATATACGCAAATATATATTCTCCAATTAGTCCAAAACTCAACATATTATTAATTCGCTATTTTTTTTCGTTTGAATCCTGAAAGTTAAAAAGATTATTGTTTTTTAGTAATTAATCATGCACTATACTAATTGCTAAAACAAAACTGTAACACTTGGAAACTTCATGTAACCAAACACTAAATAATTGAGTAAATTCCTCTTGTTTTGTTACTCTTTCCTTAATTTCTATTTACTTTTAAACCGATCTCATTTTCTTATTAAAATTTTCACAAACTAAAAAATATAAAATCATTGAAAAAGGAAGTTGATATTTCAATTTATCATGTCAAAAGTGTGTTTATGATCAAACTGTTGCTATTCAAAAGAGACTTTCCATTCTTAATTTCTTTTATCATCTTTGTTAAAACCGAAATCGTTTGATAACATATCTTTAAATATTATTTGTCATTTAGCTAGGTTTAGGGAGATCCTTTGAAAATTAAGATTCTTAGAAAATATTGGGGTATTAGTTTTTTTCTTTGTCCCCTGTTAATTGAGAGGAAATTTTTTACTTAAATGTGGACATGAATTATCATGAATAACATCTTTATAATCATCAGTGAAATACTCTAGTTACTTTAGCATTCTAAATTAAATGCTAAGAACACTAAATTTTATTAAAAACACATATAGCAAAATAAAATAGACAAATATCTTTAGGAAAAATAAAAATAGAAGTCAATTTTCTCTTGTTGGATTTGCTATTCCGCAACCTGTTTTTTTTTTCCTTATCTTTTTTTAATTCTATTCAACTTTTACTTGAATTGGTCTTCATTTTGCCTCTCAGACCTCTCAACTTTTCCCCTTAAGTAACGGTAGAACAATATCTCATCTTCAATCACAAAAATATATTTCCTTCTCAATATTATTCTTGTTGCCAATTGGACATTCTCACCACTCTTTCTTTAAATTCTTCAATCAAATTAAAAAAAAATTCTTGATATCTCCCCTGCCAGAAATTACACCTTGTCATAAAGTCTTTTACGTTGAAGAGAAATGTTTGCCACTTGACCCTTCTCATTATTACACACAACACCATCAAAAGAATCATGAAATGATCTTTATTTCTCTTTTGTTAAACCAGATTGTCTTTGAGAAGAAGAATGAATAAAGTTAAGGAGATACCCATTGTTGTTGGTTCCAAATACTCCAAACCTTTTATTTTATATGGTAAAAATAAGTTGTTTTAAAAAATGAAAGTTTTTTGTCTATTTATCTTCCTTTTACTTGAATGTGTTTCTTTATTAAATCTTTTAACGGATGTACATGTTTTTTCATTTATTGAGTAATGCATTTAGACACTCTTAAATAGATTTTTGAAAATAAGATTAATGGAAAAACAAAGATAAAAATTCCATAAAAGGAGAAAAAAGATAAATGGCTATTCTAGCATCTAAGAGGTGCCACATCACCTTGCCAATTCCCAACCTTATATATATATATGCTCGTTAAATGATGAGCCCGTTTGGTCATAATTTATTTTTTTACTTTTTCTTCCAAATATTTTACTTTTTTTCGGAATCAGTGTTTGACCAAAAAATTTCAAATTTCACTTGAAGATGGATTTCGGAATATTTCGAAAATTTGAAAAACTCCAAAAATCTGTTTTTTAAAATTTTCACTTCAAATACCGCACAAAATTCAAAAACAGCTCCAAATTGTATTCATGTCCAAACTTAACTCTAATTTTCAAAGAGAATTTTCATTTGAATTTTTTTTTTCGGAATTTCACAATACTTATGTCCAAACGTTCACGATGGGTGGCACATGATCATGTTTTTATTTTCCTTTTAATTTCAAATTTATTTCTTTTGCCATCAATATATCTAACTCTCGTGATTATCACTAGTGCCCTGGATTATCATTGATAAGTTTATTATTTTTTCCTTTAGGACGAACTTTCAATGAAAGTAAACTTTAACTCTCATACTTTTTAACGATTTATTGGTATATATATTTTTTTTCTTCTCATATTTACTAATATTAGACAAGTCAAATTATTATCTTAAATTCAACTTCCAATCAATAATTTTTAAGATTTCGCATAGAATCAAACAGTAAATTTAAAATAAAACGAATATTAGTATGGTATTAGATAGTATAAATAAAAAAGTCCGTAATGTCTTATGCAAACTTTAACAATACCATCTACTCTAGTGACTACTTGCTAGAGTAATTTTACAATTGGAGGACTTTAAAATTAACTATGACAATTGAATTTTAATTTTTAGAAATCTCATAATGACTTACGTTGAATTGTATGGCCCGCCTCATTTTGAAATGTTAAGATTTTAGAGAGTTACTAATTTTGTGTTTTTTATTTTTATTTTATAGTTTTGAAATGCACAACTTAGCTCGTTTTATTTAGTTAAAAATATGCGAGTATATCTTCCAAAAGACGTTAAAACTCAAACCACCATGCATGTGTGAAATGTCTTATTTCAAAGCTCAAATATCTAGAAATAAGACATATTAATTATTAGTTACCAGTTTAGTTACCCAATAAGTATAAGCTCTAAATTAATCTAATTCTTTCAGTTATCCTATTGGGATCTCATGCTTTTACTAATAATTAGTCATGCATTAAGCAATAGACAAGGAATAAATTAATAAAAATAATATATAATGATCTTATAATTATAATTACGAGACTCCATCATACAAAGAGAATCACTTTAAATTATTTTAAGATTATAGTATATTGGGTAAACTTATTAAACAATATTAATATGATTTATCTTGTCATATATAGGGTGGCCATGTTTAAATTTCTAATAAATAACACATTTATAATCATATGATCTAAGCTTTCACAATATCATACTAAAAAAAAAGAAAGAAATGCTTTCAAAATAATAGTACCATTTTGTTAAATTTACTTTTTCGTCTTGAACAAAACGACATTGGACCTCATTTTTAATGATTTTTTTTTTGACAAACCCCAGAAAGCAAAAAGGGTAAATCTAGATTCTAGAGTACCTCAAATTAGGAAAGGAAAAGAAATATCCAATCTCCTTAAATAATTTTCCAAAAGAAGAGGGGTTGGTCGAGATTTTAAGAACTAAAGAGGGAGGAGAATTATAATACAAAATTAACTAAGTACCAAAATAGAGGAACTGAAGTTCTCACTCTTCTTGTGGTGGGAAAGTGGAAATTAGCATTCATCAGTTCCCTCTTCTTCCTTACGTTCAATTCAGCAAATCAGTGCTCCCAACGGCATTTGTCGCTTACCTCTGGCATGTCCTTTTCTCTTTCTGGCATATATACAAACAGATACCAGGTACTTCATTCCCTCTTTGTTGTAATCTAAAGGAGTTCTGTATAAACTACAAGCCCTAGTCCCATTTCATCCATTTTTCATTAGAATTCTAACTCACATTTTAGTTTGTGTTTGATTTCACGGCGTTAACGTTTAAAGGTTTTTTGGTGTTTCCACTACTCTCTGTTTATATCCTGTTTGGACTGGAAATAACGAAGATTCCCGTTCGCCTGAATTTTGAGGAGCACCAAACGTGTCTGTGTTTAATTTAATTCAACTCAGTTCATTCTTCCTCTTTTTAAGTTTAGGACTTTTGATTGGATGCTGTCTGAGGGTTGATGATTGGATGCTGTCTAAGGGTTGATCTTTGTGTATTTCTTTCCCTCCTCACTCCTTTGTTTGATTTCAGCAAAAACTGAGAGTCATATAGCCCGAATTTTAGAAGAGAAGTAAACATTTCTGTGTTTTACTTAACTCAATTGATTTTCATGCCATTTGGTTTGTTTTGGGTGTGATAGAAACTTTAATGTATATTGGTTGTTGTTGTTAATGATAGAAACTTTTTTCGTTCTTTTGTTTTCCTTTGTTGCTGCTGTTGTTATTATTTTTATTGGTAGAAATTTGAATGAATAGATTTTTTTGGGCGGTCTCCTCATCCTTTGTGTGAATGCAGAAAATGGCTAGCTTGGTGGAGAGGCTTCGTGTGCGATCAGATCGCAGACCTGTTTACAATTTAGATGAGTCTGATGAAGAAGCTGATCAGAAGCCTGGAAAGTCTGGGACTAAGAAGCAGGAAATTGAGAAAATTGTTCGATCTGATGCGGTAAATTGCTTGTAGATTGGGGGTTGTTTAATTCTTTTACCATTTCTTTACTTGGCATTTTCCGAAGCAGGGTTCTTTCTTTGGACGGTACAAGTAATTTTATTGCATCTACAAGACTACAACTGTGAATTTCATTTAGAAGTTTCTGTTGTATATTGGATCGTTATTGCTAATTCTTTTACCATCTCTTTCCTTTACTTTTTTTTCCCCATAGAGCTCTTCCAGCTAACATTACTATTAATTTTTTTGCGTCTACGTGTGGGAATCATGTTCAGAAATCTATTTTCAGCTTTAAGATATGACTTAGAGACTAGACACGACTTGGGCTTTAGCTTGTTCATCATGGGGAAAGTTGTACCTTTTGCTATGTCTGCTGACTTAATCATAGCTAACTTAATCCAGCTTGGTGTGTGTGCTAGTCGGAAGATAAATACATGTTTATACCGTTTTCTTAAAATTGTTAGAATGGCAACACCGGAGTCAAGATCAGT